TGGTTTGCGTTAGGAAGGGGCGAGGGTTCTGGATCAGATTCCGTACTGCTTCCGCTTGGAGATTACTATTTATGCAACGACCAGTCGAATTTCAGTGCATGATGCAGAAGATTAAATTTTTTTAGGAAAGGCTTTTTAATATTTATCTAACTCCCTGCATAGCTTGCAAAGTATGAATTTGAATAGATGGAAGGGTTTATAGGTAGATGTTGAGTGTGAATTCCTGGGGTCTGGTAGGGTGGAGAAATAAGCTAATGGATGAGGGGTGAGGAGAGTGGAATTGAAAAGAACTGGGAAGTGAATACCTGCGCTGATGTTTTCTAATTTTAATCACGTTATTGATATGTCTATGCTGTATTTAAGGGACGGCGATCTGCTTGCTACTTGCAATATTCTTCCAGAAATTCTACCGCGCGAGAGGCTTCGTGGTAAGTTGTTGTAGTAGTAGTAGTAGTGGCATGCATGTATAAATTTTTTTTTATCTGGCATTTGCGTATTCGTCCAGACGGTTATTGAGGTGTTATTGGGCAAGTCGATTTATTTGCCAATTATCGGTTCGTGCGTGTTTCATTCTCATCTACATTTTGAAATAGCCGCAGATATATCATATTGCCCGGCGAGAAATTACAACTTGCTGTCCATTACTTACTTGCTGTCGCTCGCGAACCAGCTGTCTCTTGGTTTCCTAGTTGGGGTATGATGGATGCTATTGGTTCCCGCGCGAGAGAAGAGAGGTTTTCGTTCGGAGCGGAGAAGTGAGTGGAGAGAGGGACAGGAGGGAATAGCTTGGGGGTTAGCGGGTAAGATGATAAAGTGGCTGGGGTGTTAACGTGTCAGATATTGAACCCGAATTACAGGCAAGCGTTTGTTGGCTGACTGAATGGAGAGGTATCGAAGAGTGGAGAGTTTATATATGCTCGATTTTGGCAACTAAACTAGGGGTTGGAGGGATGAGTGATGAGGTGGGGGTGAGTCAAGGAATTCAAATTTTCCAATAATTTCCCGTAGCATCATATTCACATATCTAGTTTACTCTTTTCTGCACGCTGCCGATTGACTTACAGGTATATGAGACACAGATTCATACCCGTGCTCAGTATCTTCGAAGTATCCTAGCAGAAGGGCAGCATACCATGAAGCTTTGCAGTGCCAATAATGTTTCTGATTCCTAGCTCTGACTTTTTCTGCTTTATTTTCGTGATGATCATGAGCTCTGATTTATGATCCTGATCGCCTCACTTGAGTAGTTGAGGGGTTTGAGGTTTAGCATGCTTGATTTGGTACTGCCGAATGCGCATTTGCTGTCAACACCTCTCTGCACACATACTCAAGAGTCTCGAAAGACACAGTAGGCTCCTCTCGCATGTTCTGCGCTCGCTCGAGTTTGACCGATATCTTTCCTCCACTATTGTACCTGATTCCTAGCACCATCACCTCTCGCACGAATTAGAGACACTTTTTTGAAAGGTGACTTTGGATTCGGAGCAGAACACCTGATGACCCGAGTATCCCCGCTGGTTGGAGACTCTTTTATGTAGAAGGACCGTGACTGTTTAGAAGCTACTCGTCACATGATTTTTGCTGCTATGTTCTGCGTTGTCATTTGGTCTGCCTCTTCGTTCGTATCCTCTATAGAAGGGATAGTGAAGCACTTGAAGACTTGCAGGCTATCGTAGCTGCAGAAGGGGCAGCCCAGGGCCTCTCTTCGTAAACGGAGATACCTGGTGCTCTAAAATCAGTGGGATTAAAAATATTACGTGATCACTAGCAGAATATGGGGCGGAGAGCTGGGTGTACATAGCTTGATACAATGTAGGTAAAGAAGAGAGGAGAATTGAGCTGGAATGAGGTGAAACATTTCAAATTGAGATATAAGAAGCCCGGTCTCCATCAACCGGAAGAGTGCTGAAAAGAAGAGGAATTAAATACCAATATCTAATTGAAAATACTCGGATATTTCAACAGAGTTGGTTGATGGAAGATACCAGTGGGTTTAAGATTCGTCAAAGTTCTTCTCAATATGATTTGAGACAAGTGTTTGAAGAATTCAAAGATAGTTCAAAGAGAACCAGAATATATTTCTCTGGTTTTGAAATATATACGCAGAAATCCGAGTTCTGAGCATCGTTTGTCATCTACCCGCCCGTATCGGAAAAGTATCACTTTCTTGATTGCCACATGGCTACATTAAATCGCAGTTTCTGGAAGTGTGAACGGGCATGATTGGTACTTGGCTATTCTTATTCCAAATGAAGATAACTTCTTTGACCTGCGTAGCAGCCGTGTTTTTTTTTTTTTTTTTCAAGCCCCATCTTTAGCGCTCTTGCCCAGATTTTGTAATATCTATACAGTTCGGAAGTAGCCCAAAACCTCCCCGGTGACAGTCACAGCGCTTTGACCTTTCGACTGCTGGATAATTTTTCGAAGGCACTACTTGTGCGACCTTCTTTCCTGCTCATAAACCCTACATATTATGCGAGTACCAGTGTAAACAATAACGATTCCAGCGACATAAGCACGAGTCCCTCGCTAAGATCTCTAGGCGCGAGACGAGCGCTTTCCCAAATAAATCACATCACCACTAAGCCTTGTTCTTGATCAGGTACGAATTTGCCTCTTTTAGGAGATGGGCCGAACCAATTACATGTAATCTATCGCGACTGACGAAGATCCGTTTTGAAGGAAAGAAAATAGGCGAGATGTTGAAGCGCCCAACGAAAATTCAGGTGGTGCTAATTCGTAATCATAAGCGACGCCTTTAAAATAATCAAGGACGAGCTCCTCGTTTATACAAGCGAGTGTGGATTGTGTAGAAGGAGCGAGGCCTCGAAAGAGGAATGCACTATGCAGCAATGCTCGTCAGCATAGCGAATATTACCAAGACATACTTGATGATCTAGCGCGCAGAACCAAGCAACCCCCTTGTTTATATATACACGTACAGCACAGAAGTGATTCAGCGCCAGCTCTTGAAGTTGTCGTGGCTCAGGGTCAGGAATGCGTCATCACGTGAATCTGAAGAGAACTTGGTAATGATGTACAATACTCTCAAAACACTGGCGTGGTTCTAAGACGAGCAGGAAAAAGTAAAGTAAAGCTCCGCAGTATAGTTCATTGGTGAGTGACTATGCAATTAAGGTGTGTGAGAGCCCGAAGTCTCAAGTCGTGAAATGCAACCTTTTCCAGCCGATGCTATCCTCCGTGAACAAGGCCAAGACACCAATACCCCCTTCCCCCCCACCCAGATTTCGAGCTCATACCAAATTCAGCGCGCGCCATACAAAAAAAGAAGAACCAAAAAAGGATCTACCAGCCAAAATAAGCCATCGCTGAGCACTCAGTACTTGTAGCAAGTGATCTGGGCGTTGACGAGGTCCAGGGGATTAGAGACCGGAGCAAAGCCCTGGTAGGTGTGCTGCTCGGTGATGGTGACAGTGTAGTGAGGAAGTTGCAAGTAGCACTGGACTCCTTGGAAGTTGGACTGCAGGAAGAAAGAGGTGGCCAGGAAGGTGTGGCCGCTGTCGAGAGGGGAGCCGGCGAGGAGAGTGGCGACGCTTTGAGTGACGCCAAAGGGGATTACGGCGTTGAAATTGCGGCCGGAGGCCTCGTTGGAGAACTGAACTGTAGTTGTTGGAATGATTGGCCCTGCGGAGGCAACGACGGCGAGGAGAGCGGCAGAGAGGATTGTGGTAAACTGCATTTTGCTTTGCGGGTGGAGGTGGTTGGTATGTTGTGTTTGGAAGTTGGAGTAGCTGAGGCGGAGGATTAATATATAACTAGCTTTTGATGAATTTTATGGGTGATTCTTGATGTTTAATGACTGTTGAAGATGAGTGTTGAGGATGAGTGTTGAGGATGAGTGTTGAGGATGAGTGTTGAGGGTGAATGTTGAAGACGAGGATGCATTCTTTTGGTGGGTATCCCGGTTGTTTATATATTGAAGATCTCTAGACTGAGATCTAGACTGAGATCTAGACTGAGATCCCGAAGTCTGCTTGACAAATCGCGCAACCATAACATGAGAATTTTGTAGTGGCTGATTCCCACTCAACCCAGAGAATAAAATGTGCAAGGTTGAGGATTGACGGGCTGCGCATCTGACGAGGAAAAAAGCTGGCTGACCAGCTGCCCCTCGTAACGAATATCGGTGAAGGAGAATACGAAATAGGGGGAAGGGAAGAGTTCTATTTTTACTCCTTTTCATTATCTTCCTGTTCAGCTTATGTTCAGCTCAGGAAAACAACAACCCATAAGCCCGAAAGCTCAGCCTGCCACTTGCGTAGAAGGAGAAAAAATTCATTGAGGATGGCATGATCAGCCCAATGACACTCGATTGAATCGTACAGCTGTAGGGTTTTATATTGGCATTAGCAAATGTCTTCGGAAAGTCGCTGTTCTATTTCGAAATCTGACTGCAGAAGCTGCTGTCATGCACGACACGTGATATGTGAAAATCTGACCGACCACCTTGGAGCGGGTTCCTTCGTCGGTCCGCCATGCGTCGATCACGATAGTATTGTTTCTGTCATGTCCAAACTCGTATTACGGCATCGAAGACGGAATCATGAGTTGGCATGCTCAGCCAGAGAAGACTCGCGAAAGAAGTTAGGCGAGGGAACCGACTCACTGATGCACGCCACTATTGAGCGTGCATAGGTTTTCGCATGTCTCGAAATAACTATTCTGGAGCGTAGCGTGGCTTCCTGTCATCTTGGTGTCAAAAGCTGCGAGCACAATCAAGCGCGGATGGTGACTTGGAGAGATCTTGGCTTTTGCTAGTACAGGACTCAGCTCTGTTGCTCTTGATATGTTCTTCTATAGTATGCCGAAGTCCGACATCGTTCCCCAGCATCAAGAATTTTTTCCTTGATCAGAATAGACTCGGGCTCTGAACTGGGAACCGTTGATATTAATGGCTGAATATGATATTGATAGCTGGAAGTGCTCTGAAGTTTGGTCAGGACTCCATGCTTTGGCTTAGTTGGCGCTCGATTAGAGTTGAATAATATAGCATTGTGTGTGCCAAGATCGTATATGCCTCCAAACAAACGGTTCAGATAAAAATATTGACTGAGATTCAGAGCGCTCTTTGGACAACGATCGATTCTGTTGTTAGTCAGCTAATATTCGGTCTCTCAATATCGAACACTTACCCGATTGCTCACCCTCGCGCTTCCATAGGATCTTTCTTCAAAATAATAGAAGTTCTTCATATGTCGAGACCGCGTTGTAAGTCTTCTCCTTCGCGTCACTCTGACCCAGCCCCCTCTGCTCCAGTCAAACTGTCCCCCAGCCTCCCTTCGATAACCAATCAACATGCTCCCACCGCTTTCGCAGTACCGACATACATTTTCCAAGAAAACCGAGAGCTTGATTCATACATATTCCCCTTCTTAGCTTATGACATGGCACAGATAGGTGACGACAGCTGCTGCGTTGACACCCAGGTACCACTCCCCTGGAACCTTGTTCCCGGGCGATCATCAAATAACATAGAATTAAACCTCATAATTAAGAAAGCGCGAAAGGCGACATCGTGCATCGGAAACCATGTAATAATAAGCTCGGCTTCTGTCTTGGAAGTGAGGCTGTGTATACACAAGTTCAAAACCAAACGTTGTCATCAGACCCAGACTTGGAACGTTAGAAAGAAGAGGCAGAGATTCAGAGATAGAAGAGGGCCATGGGTAGAGAGAGGGGAATTGATGTCGTGCGCCAGAACTCGTGTCTGAACCAACCCCCCGTACCGTACCGAGTGTAATTAATAAGCGCAAATTAAATTGAAGGTTACCGACGATTACTCCAAATGGCATTATGTGATATTGCCAACTGCGGAAAGCCAATCTCGAGCCTTGGAAACGCGACTTCACAGGCGTGTGTACTACTATAAGCCCTTTTTCTGTTTAGGTGGTATGCGCAAACAGACCTGGTTTACAGAAATAAAGAGCCTTGTGAACACTTGGTTAGGTCCCAGAATTGGATGTAGCGGTTTGAAATTCTACTTTGTTTACGTACGCTTCTCAGAGTGGATCGTGGCTCTCCTCGATAGGCAGTTATCCTAGTATTGGTTTACGTCTGGCGGGTTCCGGACTTGCTCATGGTCTAGTTAAAGTGATTCGCACTATTAATGATTTTAATATCCATTCTACCATACTCAGTATTGGTAAATACTCCACCATAGTCTTTTTTCGAAACTTTTTGTTGAATGGCGCAGTACATAACCCCAAGTGCAGGGTGGGGGCTTTGAATGGCTTGTGCAAGAACTTGACTGTGAGGAATAGGTAACCTCAAACAACATACGTAAAGCCTTAGTATTCCGGATGCTATTTTTTTCCCCCTCATAAGTCGCTTTATGATAGAACCAAGGACTCAGAAAGAGTTGATTTTAGAAGGTGGGAGCTGAGAGCTCTATACCGTGGGAGTAGCCAAGAGGCTAATCCCAGTACAGGAATAGTGGTGAACCCGATTTTTCCAATACTTTTGGGTTTGAAGGCTTGGATCATTAGTCGTGTTTTAGGACACCGATAAATGATAAGCTTAAAAATAATGTTCTTCCAATAATTGAGCTGGTTCTTTCAATCGATACATGGTATTCGAACGCCGTTTGGGATTTCCTTGCCCAGGCCTACGCCATTGCCAATGCTCCTATGACGGAGGAGAACGAACCGACCCCGGCTTCTCAACTAGAGACTCTTGCCACCGGTGTTAACGCGGCTCCCCCCCGGAAAAGACGCGCCCTTGCGGTACAAGAGCACGAGCGAGCGACCTTCTCTTAAGCCGTCTCCTTACAATCTTCTTCTCAAGCCTTTACGCAAGCTACGAGACCTTTGCGCAATACGGCTACGCGCAAGAACCTTAACGAAAAGACTTTAATAAACAGCGCCTTTTCTACCGTAGACGAAAGAAAAGACACGCTAATAGCGACATCGGACTATCACGTAGACAACACTATCAGCTCATCTTCTTCGTTTGTAAAAGGCTCAAGCATTGTTATTAGCTAAGATGCTTAAAACAACTTTATATATTAAGCACGCCGATACGGCACCGCGGCACTCGCCGCAATCGATAGCCCTTTAAAGAAATCCAAGTCTATTAAGCGAACGTAAGCAAAAGGCAGCCACACTATATTGCTCTACTCTACTTTTGCTATTCGGTAAACATTGACGTTATTTATATCTAAAAGCCGTATACGCACTCGAGCATTAAAACCCAGAACCACTCGTCTTACGAATGCTATGCTCCGATAGAATCGTAAGATAGTTAAGACGACGCTTAATACTTCGTTAAGCGACTACGAGTAATGACTTACATGCGCAAAAGCGTAAGTCTTCGCACTTAGTAACGCCGTTCTATTCGCAACAAAGATCTCTTATAAGTCGATGTGAACGGCTTCGCTACTTTGAACGTCTATCAGCAACCTTTAATAAACCCGATTATAAATTATATCACTTACTTCGTCTTTCTTTTTAAGTGCTTGATTAGAAAGGACTTTAATATATAATACGATATATTCGAACTAAAGGTTGAGCTTAAAAGCCGAAAAAGAGACTTTACGGCTTAGTTTAATGCTAGTAAGATAGACTATATTAAACTCTCGAGCGACCTTACTTATAAAGCTAGTTACGTTTTAAACTTAACTTTTTTAAATATCTCGTTTGCTTAAACGATAATTCGCTTCGATCTACATTCGAGCTTAAACTACGAAACTTAAGTCACGACTATCTTTAACTGAAAAGTCGTTCTCTTAAAGCGCTTTTAATACTAAGTACCGGACCAAGACCTCGAGAAATTCGCTTCGCTTATAGCGTTAAGCGTAGACTAACTCTTCGACTCGTAGACGATACATTTTATCAAAGAACTCGATCAACTTGCGATCAGCTTAGCTATTGCCTTCAACTCTGCTTTAAAAGTTGCGAAACAGCCCGCTCGAAAAAAGCTAACGGCTGCACCGTAATAAACGGCAAACTGCTAGATAGCGTATAAAAAACACTTAGCAGCGCGCTCTATAGTATACGACGGAAAACCGACTTAAAAAACGCGAAACTAGCTCGTTACAATTAAAAAAGTTAAAAAGGCTTATTAGACTTACGTGATCGACGGAGTGAAATCGGACCAAGACTTATATAAAGTCATAAGCTAGCACAAGCTTACTTCGAACTTAAAATCGCCTTTTTTAATAATCAACGACGAAGCTATCGAAAACACTAAAAAGAAAGCGGACGCGCTGCGAGAAAGCATCTTTAAACGGTTTAACGCCGCCGACGACCTCGACTACGATCTACTCGCTAGCTAAGAAAGCACTAGCCGGCTCTTTTAAGATATTACGATATCATTAAAAAAAATAAAGTTTTACGTAATTAAAGTGATAAGCACTTTACTCGAAACGGACAAGATCACCGTACGATTGCTTAAAGCATATTAGCAACACGTCTATTACTTCTTTTATAGCTTTTTTAATAAGTGCTTAGCTCTTTACTATTTCTCGGATACGTAAAAGCTCGCCGAAGTCTCGATGATCTTTAAAGTAAAGAAAAAAAACAAAACTTTTATTCGCTTTTAACGACCGATTGCTTTACTTTCGTACATTTTTAAAAAACTAAAGCGCATCGTCGCGAAGAAAATTACGTAAACTGCTTTTATTAACGACGTTTTTAACTTATAGCACGCGAGAGCTCTTTTACGGCGCTTTGCATTAGACTTCGCTTTATGCTTAATACACGATATCGAATCCGCACTTGCAATTAAATACTAGATTATTATAATTATTATAGACGTTTAAAAAGCTTTCGATACGATCTTAACTCGTCGCTTTTTTAAACGCATAACGGAGCAAAGCTAACCGTACTTATTGCTTAAGCTAATAAAGTCTTTTCTTTTAAACCGCAAGATCAAGGTCCGATTAAAAAAAGAAATCACGAACACTTACAACGTAAAGTGCGGCACTCCGTAAAGATCTTTGTTATCACCGATGTTTTATATGCTTTACTTAGCTAAGCTACTTAACTAAGACCGGACATTGCGCTTTAAGTACGCTAACGATATCTGTTTATATCGCGTTAATCGCATTTTCGACCGGAACATCGTTATACTTCAAGACGATATTAATTCTATTATTAAGTAAAGTAACACTTATAAGATCGCTTTCGCTTTAAAGAAGATCGAGATAATGTACTTCTCTCGTAAGAAAAGTACGTATACCTTTTTTCTCGTAATCGATACTATAACTATTTTATATATTACTACGGATCCGAAAGACGAAGATACACTTGCGATACGATAGCTTAAAGTCTAGTTTAACCGTAAGCTAAAGTTCCGCCGATACGTTTAAGAACGAGCGGCTAAAGTTAAGAAAGTCGCTTAGCATATCCGCAATCTCGTTAAGATAATCCACGGTCTTTTTATAGCTTCACTACGCAAAGCAATTACTACTTGCGTGCTGCTTTCGGTGCTTTACAACACGAAAGCGTAATACGCAAAGCGCTATCGCTTAATCTGCAAGTCCGGAAGACTAAAAGTTATTAGCGCTCGAGTCGAAAAGATAATTGACTTTATTAATAAGACGATAACCTTCGCGGCGCGCAAAGTACTCTCGGTCTAAAAAACGATATTAACGGCAACGCTCTTTCGAAATGCCGAGCTACCTTTCGGCGCTACGGCTTTAAAAAAAGCTAAAGCTAAGTTTGCAATAAGATTAAAAACGGTAAACGATAAGCACTTACTAGTCAGCCGAATACCTTTGCGGATCCGACAACGCGATCGCGGCGCAAAGACTATTAAGATCTTCGAAACTAAGATCTAAAAACTAAGAACTCTTTTCTTAAACGTTCTTCGCTTTCGCTTCGTCTCTTCGCATTTTATATCGAAAAGCAGACGGGACCCGGCGAACGGCAAAACGAAAAAAAAAGCTGCTGTTGCATTCGAAGCATAATAACAATAGCTTTCGTCAAAAGACATCACGATCTTTTCAAACGAATTAAAACAATACGATTAAAGCAACCGACTAGTAAGCTACGAGTACGTAGTCTATCGAAAACGATAAAAGACAAGCCACGAGTACGGCTTTATCAACGACTGCTCTTACGTCTTTAACGCAAAAGCGATAAAAGCATAAAAAGGCTTCGAACGAATAGTATACGCTTATCCGATAGCGAAACGGATTTAGCTTTGCATCGATAGCATATTAATTATTTAATATCTTCGCGGAAATGCTTCTTTATTATCGTAATAAGCGTTCTTAAACGTTTAAAAAGTAATAAAGACTCGAAACGTACGAATACGATAGTCTTTAAAGCATATAAGCATTAAAAAAAACGAACAAGCGGATAAGCTTACAGACTTAAAAGTAAAGAAACCGGATTAAAACACTAATCTAGCATCGCAACTTACGATCAACAGCATCCGCACGCTCTTCCGCGATATACGAGATAAAGCACGAAAAGCTTAATAAAGCGCAAGCTCTTTTAAGCTTTCACGCTCGTATCGGAAATAAAGCTTTCTATACTTAATCAAGCCTTTCTCGAAGCTAGAACTCTTACGATATATTTTATACAAACTACTTGCGATCCGAACTACGTACGAAGACTTTACTTAATACTATATTAAGTTCTAGCACTACGACGCTAACTTAAAGTATGCTTGCGGCAAACGCAAGTCCTTTTTGCACATAGCTTTCTGCCGATTTACGCAACGACGCTTCTTCTTTTAGCTTTATAAGACTCGACCGCGGACTTTTCCGAGCACGATCTTAAAAGCTTACGACTTCTTTAAAAGTCTCTTCAACAATCCGGCCGATTTTCAAGCCTTCTTAACTATTACGAAGTTCTACTTTAAGTATTGCACTCGATAAAAGTGCTACTTTAGCTAATTAATACTGCTTCGATAAAAAGAACGAAGTACGCTCCGCTTTACTTAAGTTGTAAAAGCTCGTTAGATTAACCGCGTCACGAGACTAAGACTTTAAGATAGCGTAATGCGCTCTCGAAAGAATTCTCTTTAGCACTAATATATTATATTAAGTTTTCTTTTAAAGTTTAAGCTTTCGTATTCACCTTTTTCTTTTATACTCAGCTAACCTCGGTCCGGCCTTGATTCTTATCGCTACGCGACGCGAACAGCTCGCTTTTAGCTAGCTATAGCAGTTTGCATATGCTTGACTCTCTCTTTTATAATTTTCTTTTAATAAAAGGTCTCTTTCTATATGATCTATCTTATCTATAAAAAAAAAGCGCATGCGATAATAGCTTACGCTACAACACTTTGAATTGCTTTCTAAAGCCTTCTTGTATATAACTCTTTAGCTTAACACGTCGCCGTACCCTATAAAAGGTCTTAGGGCGGCAGGCTTCGCTTGCTACCCGCTCGACGTAAATAAATACAACAACAACAACAACAACAACAACATTTGGGATTTCCTATCATCTATACATTTGTGGAATAATAGCAAATAAGCCTACGAATTACATGAGAAAAGTCTGCAATTGACTTGTGATATATGTCTATCTGTAGTCTTATATCGCCACGTCTCTTAAAAGTAAATCGATCCGGCATATCCCAGATAGGGGTCTTCGAAGCACGATTATAGCCAGTGCGTTATCTTCCAACGCCGCATAACGAGAGAGTCATAACATTTATTATCAGATTGGATCGGTGAGAAAATGCTATTATTCTCTTATCTACGATCTAGTAGGGAATCCCTGCTAAAATGCCAAAGTGTTGGCAAATCGAAAGGAAGAAGCAGAACACCACGATTATAGCTGCACTTAAGGCAGTAAAAGAGAGATAAAGTTAGACCGTGACTTATCATCCCTAACAGCCTTGAAGACTTCGGTATCAGTCAATAGGCGGGAGGAACAAGGCGTCTTAGTGGCCTTTAGCGAACGCTAAAAATTGGAGGACTTTATCTTCTTTCCCTCTGTCTTCCGTAGAAACAATGAATAACCGCTGCTTGCACTTCTCTTCGATAGAATTATTATATCTACTGTATATGCATAAGGTAAGAAAGCCTATCGGTAAGTAAGCCCAGCGGCACATTTTAGCATCCCTACGAGATAAAGAATGAGTAGTAACGTTTGCCAAGTGCGAGTCGGCCCGCCCATCAACTCTTGTCTTTAAAAGGGAAGGGCGCAGTCGACAGCATCGGCCTGAAATGCTTCCTATATTCTTTGTAGTATGCAACTCTTTAGCTTTGCCAACCCGCTAGACGCGACTAAAACTCGACACCGCTACTATCAACCCTTGTCTTTTAAATTATATGTACTTAGTATGATACTTGCGTAACCCTCTACGCCCTTCTGGATCTGCTGGAAAGATGACTTCAAATCGCCCAGCTCTATGATCCACCATCTTACCCTGTCAATTGTAGATCATCTCTTGCAGAACCTGCTGAAACACGCCTCAGGTCGAGAATGCGCCTTCGGCTCAGAGTTAGATTTGCGTTGATCCTGTGTCGGCGATTCGGCAGTGAGTCAAGGGATCTCAGCCGCAGACTGTACGTACTTTGGAATGTTATAACGTACTTACCTTTTTTTAGCTGCGGAGAAAAGGCAGCCCTAAACCAGTTAGACATCCTTGGCCAAAAGTCAAAGTCACCCAGTGGCAAGATTTATCACGGTACTTGTGCAGAAAAGAAATGCAACTACCGGTACATCTCTCGGACAACAATATCAAGAAAACTCAAAAGGCTGCTTAGCTTTTTGATCTTTTCCTGCTCCCTTTCTTCATTCTGAGAGGTATATAAATTGACCTTTACCTCCGTCTTTTCGTCCGGCACCATTCAGTATCTCGATTCTGTATCGAACCCTTTTCTTCGGAAGCAAATCAAAGCAAGACAAGACCTTTCTGTATACAAAATTCCCCAATATTCAAGAGCAACAACAACAACAGACGAAATGTACTTCCCCAACATCCATCTGGCCCTCGTCGTCTCCCTCTCCAACATCGCTCTGGGTGCTATTGTCCCGTTGGAAATGCGGCAGTTGGATTGCTCTGTGTTAGTCTTTCTCTCTCCCCCCTCCCTCCATCCCTCCTCTCTCCCTCTCACAGGACTCCATCTCCCAATCTCCACCAGAGCCAGACTATCCCCCATCTCTTCACACCTACCACCCAACTAACACCATTCAATTCCAACAGGTACGACACCCTAGTCCCGGGTCCCGTCTACACCGGCCCCTGCGAAACCAACAACTGCGGCGCCGCAGGACTAGACTGTACAAAAGAGAGAAAACTAGGCTGCGTGGTCGGTCCCGCGTAAGTAGACCCCCCTTTCTTTCTTTTTTTCCCCTTCCTCCCTTGCTCCGTAACTATTGTATCAGGCGGAGGATTTCTCTCTCAAGTGAGCTGTATAGATACGTATGTGTGTATGTATATGTGTGTATGTATGTACTAAGCACAAAACTACAGATTCGGATGCCCGCCGAAATTCTGCGCCTGCACGAACTACTGAGATGCGTGCGGCCCGCGGGAAAGAATGAAAGGCACGGCACGCAGGCACGGCTCTAGCTGGCTAGGCTGGGCTGGGGATTGATTCCTTTGCTTTATTATGAAAGGAAAGATGGATGATGATGATGATGATGATGATGAAAGGGGTTCTCTCCTTCGTACGGGCTTCGAGAGAATTTCAGTTATGATAAAAATGATACCAAGCTTTTTCGCGAAAATGGAAGTCTTCGCATTTTTCCTGGTTTCCTTTTTTTTTCCTTTTTTTTTTTTTGGTTGTAGCTCATTTCTATCTACTCTGTAGTACACCGTTCGTTATTCTTAACGATTGTACAGTGTATCAGGTAGCGGACAGATGTATGCCTCCTACATAGCAGCTTGCTTGCTTGCTCGTCCATACCTCAGGGAATCAAGAGGGCTATGACTCTCTAGCTATATGAGGTCTCCTCGCACGAACCTCCAGCTCTCTTTCTTTTTCCTGCGCCAGAAAAAGATTCTTGTCTGGAGAGCCGAAATCAAATCATAATCGACACGCGGCGAATTTTCAAAGAGATTTTCTTCTTCGTACCGGCGATCGATCGATTACGAGCGAGCTTCTTCTTTCTTCTTTTCTTGAATACTACGCTGACTACGGATCTATATGCCTAACGAGCATTCAGGCTGAAAAGACACAAGGGATTTGCGATTGAAGGAAAGGAAAATGCAAGTATTTTTAAAGGGGGGGGGGGAAGAAAGGGTCCAGGACGATCCATAATATCTATTATGCTCTCGGAAAAAAGCCTCTTGGCTGACCTCGGTCCGGCTTCGAATTATCTCGATATTATATCGATATCCGTTATATTCGTTACATACGTCGTAAAGTGCTTTTCAAGTTTTCCTCCTACACAAGACATTTATTTTCTATGACGTATCTAACTTATTTAAAATGAAAACGCTTAGTCGATAAATAGTAGCAACTGCGCTGCACGAATGTGAAATGCTTTCAAAAGATTTATATAAAGAGTTTGCGATACCGCGAGGAAACTCGAAGCTATCTATCTATCAAAGAGCCCTTCTTTCTTTAACGTAGTGACTATTCTCGATTAAATAACCCTTTACATTTGATTCCTTTATTTAGCACGTGGCCGCCGTACCTTACAAAAGGTCCCAGGGTGGCCGCAGTCAAAGCTAGCCACCCGCCTAACGTTCGCAATAACAATAACAAATACAAATTACAATAATAATAATAAAAGTAATAACAATAATTTGAGAGCAAAATATATCTCATCAAATCCTTTTCAGATAATCCAATTCAATCACCCGTTTAACTTTAATTCAAGTCTCATCGGCCTAAGTGAGATTAATCTAATCCACTCGCTAGATAGCCAGCTATTATATCAACTAACCAACTAACCAACCGACCAACTAACACAACTTCTTAGCACCGTCCGTCCGTTTGTCTCTTGAAAATAGATTATCATCATTATCATCAAACCGAATTAGCTAACCATTTAAAGTAGCCCATTTCCTTCTCACCTTACTTGCCCATACAGACACACACACACACATACATCTGAGGTAGGTGAAGAAATATCTCAAAGACCAACCCATAAATAAAATGCAAGGAATAAACATATTTTCCTCTCTTTCTTTAGAAAAAAAAAAAAAAAAACAACGGCATTATATCACATCTATCTTCATTCAAGTAAAATCGATCGATCAATCGATCGATCGATCGATCCATCTAATAAACAAAGTAATAAAGTTCAGTTACTGAATTCCAACGCTTTTTATTCTTTTCTTTAAAAAAAAAAATATGAAAAGAAAAGAAAAAGCTATAAAATTAAAACTTCTCTTACCTTTTTTATCATTATCATCACTATCCACACTATCTTATTATCCTATCACTCATCACCACTTCCGCACTTCCACACTTCTTTATATCTTTACTTTTTCACTTCTTTACGTTTTACTTTTATACTTTTATATTTCTATACTTTCATATTTCTATGCTTTTATATTTCTATACTTTTATATTTCTATACTTTTATATTTCTATACTTCCATAAGTCCCTACTTCCATATCAGCTAAAAAGAACCAAAGAGAATAAGATGCTTGCTCATTCATTCACTCATTCACTTATTCACTTATTCACTATTTACTCAATCATTTACAAAAAAAAAAAAAAAAAACACCTGCCCTGACCTGATTCGGAAAGCGCTAAAAGTAAGGAAAGTAAGTTAGTAAGTATGCACAGCTCTTTTCTTCTACCTACCTATTATCAAGCCCCCCCTTTCCTTTTCTTTCTTTCCCCTTCTTCCCCTTCTTTACTTCCCTTCCCTTTTCTTCCCTCTTTCCCGCTCTAATAAAAAAAATTATATATATATTCAAATACCTTGACTTAACCGAGAAAACGCTAAAAGTAAGTATGTAAGTATGTATACACAGCTTTATTTACCTACCTTCCTACCCACCCACCTACCTACTTATTCACCTACCTACCCCAGGTCCTACCTATCCACTTACCATCAAGCCCCGAAGGGCCACACGATTCTTCACCTATACGAAATGCCCCTTACGAACCCCATCTCTCTTTCCAGCAGCAAAAAGAGTCCAAAGAGCCGAAATTGAACCAAAGCAGCCTTTTCGAAGAGATTTTCCTTTACTAGCGATCCGAACGAGCCTCCTTTTATTACTTAGACCACTACGCCGACCACGATCTATACGGTACTTGACGGACATCTCGATTGAAAATACTGAAAATGTTAGATTGCTTCC